TTATACTCTTATTAATAATTTTTTCTGTAGAAACTTCTTTTTCATTATTTTAGGAAAAAACGAGATAAGAATATTAATTTTATATTTATTTAAAAATATTAATTTTTCTAGCTTATAATTAAGTTAGTAAATTTTTAATATTTTTTATTTAAAGGTGTTAACATTTTTTATTTAAAGGATATGAACCTTGTGTTTTTAATGTCAGCATTATTATTTAATTTTTTAAATATATATATATATATAAAGTTAGCATTTTTAAATAAAAAATTAAAAAATTATCATTTTAATTAGAATTTAATAAAAGGATGTAGCATAGGTTAAGGGTATAATTAATATAACTTTTTGATATTAATTAATATAGAAAATAACAAAAGTTAATATTAATTTTATCATCAATGCTACATATATTATTTTAATTAAATAAATAATTAAATAAATATTAAATTTTCTTTTTTAATGACAATTAATATTGAAAAAGTATTCTTAAGGCACGAATTAAAAGACCCTTAATAAAATTAACACCCTTAAATTAAAAAAAAATCATAAAATTATTATCTTTATCTACATCTTTTCTTGCCATTTTAGACTTTCTATACTCAAATTTTCAAGTAATTTATGGAATAATCTGAACATTCAACAACACAACCTTCAATTAAGTTGTTGATTATCCATTAAATGGGAAGGGTGACATAGTTGAAGTAAAAATCAAGTGTGGTTGCTAAGCGCAAATGACAACTGCAGGTCGTGGTGCCCAAATAAAAATCCTAGGAAATATTCGAAGTACTTTAATTAAGAAAGGTAGTGCTTTACTTTTCTTCTTGGTCTAGTAGAAATTTTAACTTCGGTTGAGTGATCCACCGTAACTATAATAATTCTTCTAAGTTTTGATAAAATTAAAATGAATATAATTACAATTCATAACAGGTAATACCCAAAACCTGCAAAAACTGGAAGCAGTAATTCCAGTATGCAAATATGCATCCTGAATTGAAATTTGCAGAATACCACTTAAAATGATCTAGACTAAAATTCAACATTAACCTAATAACTTTTCAAATTAAGATTTACAAATCTTTAAAAATTTAAGCTAAAGTTATTAGTACTCATTTTATTTATTTTCATATGTAGGATTAGGGCATCACATTTTCTTCAACTTAAATGCTTGGTGTGCTTATCAAACCCAATCCAAGTCCAATTTATAAAACCAAAATCACATGATCTACCCAAGCGATATGAGATTTTAGAGGCTAAAACTGAACCTTGCAACCACCACCTACTCCATACCTTTATTAGACCAAGAGTGACTCCTTATATGACTCACATTAAAATTTTAGCATGCCCTCACACTTGTGAGAGAAGCCAATGTAATACCAACTGAAATGTCTTCCAATTTTTCTAAAATCTATTTTTAGCTACAATGGCTAGAAACTAAAGCTCCAAACATATTATTTCTTGAAGAGCCACATCAAAGCAAGTGGCCCAACTCTTTAACAGCATGTTTGATTTATGGAGAGGGGAGGGGAAGGAAGATGATGGGATGGAATGGAAGAGGAGTGAAAGAACTTTCTCAATTTTAGATAACAAAAAATTAGAAGATGGCTGCTGATTTTCCTTATTTTGTTTTAATTTCTTTTATATTTTAGTTAATTAAAATAAGGGGAAGGGATGGCTGCTGATTTTCCTTAAACCAAACAAGTAAACTTAGCAAATGGGTAAGTTGGCCAAGCTAGGATTGGGTCAAAACAAATAAAGTGTCAATAAAAAGTGATCATAATCTGCCCCATCACAGGCCAAGAGTTAACCTGCAGCAGGTAGGCCCAGGGGTTAAACCTTTTTTCTCTTTTCTAAAATTCTTTTATGTACTCCCTTCTTTTTTTTTTTTTTCTATTTATTTCTATACCATTCTTTCACTTCAAACATCAAGCACCAAACCATCTTACTACCAGAACTTGACCCACTCAGTCATAAAAATCAAAACCAAGATCTTAAAATGTCAAAACACAATCTAATCACACCTAAAATCCTAATCTTTACCAAACAAGAAACGAAAGGAGCAATCTTTTCAACCCAAGCATGCATTTTAACAACATTTAAACATAAGAACCAACAAAAAGATTCAAACCTGTTTCGGCAGCTTCGCAGTCCAACACTGTTGAAGTCCTTAGCTGCTTCCACACCTGAAAATCCTGAAGTTGTTTCTTTGGGGAAAACACTCCAACGCTCAAGTCAGCAATACTCAATGTTTTAGAGAGAGAAGCTCCCAAGGGGTAATTGCAGAGAGAAGCGTAGAGATTAATTACCTTCATCAGAGGTAGCTGGGGGTATTTATAGCCCCTTGGCACTGACATACATCTGCACGTGTAAGCTTCCCCTTACCCGCGTGGCATTGGTCACGTGGGTATGCTTGCACTGATGTTCCTTCAGTTTAGGCTGATGGGTAGTAACCTAGGCCCGTTTCCCATAGTCCTGTTTGGGTGTTGGCCTGTTGGGCCTATCCCAACAAAACCCAGAAAGAGTCCGAAAACCACATAGAGATGAAGAGAAGCAAAGAGTTTAAATGGGGTGGTTGCATATTAGATTCAAAGGCAATTTACGTGTTAGATCTAAGAATCGAAATAAAAAATAAGAAAAATAAAAGTGGAGCAGAGGAAGAAATCGGAGACTGTGAGTTGTAGACCAGAAAGGAGAATAGGAGAGGAGTGGCAATTGGCAAAGCGTAGGCCAAAGGTAGGGAGAAGAGAATGATGCCAATGAGATGGAGATGGAGACCGTGTTAGTGTTGGTGGACAGTGGAAATAGTTAATGATTGGAGTTTCGAATGGGGATGGAGAATATGAAAGGAAGAAAGGAAGAGCTGGCTAGAGGCTGTGGCTGTGAAGTGAAGAGTCTGAAGATTGAAGATGAAGAATGATATTTTGGGGAAAATTACAGATTTCGGATGGAAATTGTTATAAACAGAAAACGGAAAATCAAGACTGTTCACAGAAACAGGATCACATGAATGGACTGACGCTTTTAAAATTGAGGTAATTTTGACTTTTTACCATCATTGTTTTAAAGTTTTATTAAAATAAAATAAATTATATAAAAAAAAATTAAAAATAAACGGGGCAGCTTGTTTCCCTGTTGGGTTAATTCGTTTGACTTGATAGGTTTTTTTAAATGAGTTACAGATAAAGAATATCTGACTTTAATCCATTTTAAACGGATAGGTTAACGGTCGAGTTGGTCTACAAACAAGGGTTATAGGATAAAAGGGCTCCTCACCAACAAGACATGGGATCGAACCGCCACCCTCTATCTCCATGAGGTCCGATGCTAACTGTTCTAGCTCATTAGGGGAAAAGATGCATATTATTTATTAAGTAAATCCACTTTGATTTTGATAATTTTTTTTTCAAATTTCTTAAACTTTATAATTATTTAATGTAAATTAATGATTTATCTTTTTCAAAAGATATACTCAAACATGCACTTGGCCTTAAGGTCCAATAACACTAGTTATTAAAAAATGCATTTTTCTCTCTTCTAAGCGGGTTTTTAACCCACCCCATGTCAAAAAGTTCAAAAAAAAAGATATACTCAAACATAACTCATAGTTCCTAAAGAATATTTCAGTTAGTTCCTAAAGAGTATTTCAGTGAGTAAAATTATGAACCATGAGAATTTAAATTAAATGTATTAAGTTTAACATTAAAACATGCAAAATGAATCTAAATAAAGAAACAACTATCACTTGTATAATTTAACAAAAAAATTTAAATAATAATATTACAATATCATGGAAAAAAATATTAATAATATAATTACAATTGTGTGTCATTAAATAAATAAATATATATTAAATAAATAGATTAATGTTTATCAGCTGAATCTATAAAAAATTTAAATAAAAAAATATTTAAAAATTATATCATTTTAATAAAATACTATAAGAAAAAACTAAAATATTCTCATCCCTACTTGAAAAATAATTATGATATTTTAGTTTTTTTAATAAAACCTTATTAAAATGATATAATTTTTAGATTTTTTTTGTCTAATTTTTTACAATACAACTTGATACCCATTTCTTTTGTTAAGTAAATATAAAGAACCAATCATATAATAAAATATCAAAATTATGAGTTTATAATATCATATCTCATTATAACTGATTATTTTAATAATAATAATAATAATAATAATAATAATAGAAAACTAAAAATTCTAAGCCAAGAAAGATTTTCGATGTAAAATACTATTTTCTGCACTTCACGAATTTCGCGGTGACAGTTGCTTAAGCAGTAGTTCCATTTTGTTGTGGCACAAATTCTTCCACTCCAAGATTAACAATGAAAACAGATAAATTGAACATAGCATAGATCTGTTTTATAGTCTATATAAAAGCCAAACCGTTTCCTGCAATCCAATCAGAGCCTTGACAATGCCAGAACAAGAATACAATTTTTTTCTTTTTGAAAAAAAAAAAAAAAAATCCAATCGTCATAAAAACAAAAACTAGGGTGTTATACTGTTATATCAATACGCTCCTTTCATGCTGTAGATCCCAATTCTCTATTAAGGTAGTCTATAAACATCCTCTTTGCACTATCAGCGTCAGAAGGCGGGGGTGGCCCGCTCAAACTTGTTTGCCCTGTCAATTTAATGAATGTTCTTCGCAACCTCCGTAATTCAGGGAGCACAACTGATCTGCCAGTGTTGATAGTTGGCAAACCCTGCCCTAGTGAAATTCCGCTAAGAGGCCCTCCAATTGCCTGGGATTGTGCTTCCACAATAGCATTGATAACCTCCTGTGTTGCTCTATCCAGCTCATATAAAGAATTTGCCTCTGAAAATCGTGTATTTTGTGTAGCAATTGTTGGCTGTAAAATTTTAACATCGCGTGATTTTGTGTCCACTTTTTTGGTCAAATAAGACACAGCATCAAAGATGGCAGCAGAAGATTTCTCTATTCCATCTTTGTATGGCCACAACTCAAATAAAGGTGAATCCCAGCGGTTTCTTCTATCTGGTTTCTCAAACCTTCGGACCAGATCTTCAAATATCACATCATTATATGCAGCTTCTCCCTTGTCCCTACGCTCTTCATTCCACTTTCTACAATGCATTTCCTCTACATCACAGTACAGCACACAGTATCTTATTCCTGCAGCGCGAGCCAAACACCATAACTCATACCTGTAACCCTTGATACCATTCAAAGAATCAACAATGAGTATACTGTCTTTTGATACGGATCTATCAACTTCAGACCTGAGCAGACCTCGTAAATTTTTCTCTGCAGGCATATTAGCATAGCTCTCATTACGATCAAGATGAAATGATGATTCATCAACAATCCTTGCCATTTGCTTGCATTCTGCTTCTTTTAGAGCTTCAACCAGGCACTTTGCAGCTATTGACTTCCCACTGCATGGCTGCCCACAGATTACCACCAATGCCATTCCTAGAAGACCGCAATTACTATTGCAAATTGGTGAAGCTGCAGCTTCCAAAAAAACACACATTTATATGCAAGTGAGCAAAAGACTTTAAACAAATAAGAAACTTTAATCACTTAAACTACAATTGCCCAGTTTTTACATTTGGGAAGAATTGCCATAAAAAAATCCTTAAGCTATCATTCCTAGATTCAAGTCATGTATTTTTTTAAACACTTAAATCAATCAACTAAGTGGTAACATGCATAATGTAACACCCCAAGACGATCAGGGCAGCCTAGAATTTATCCTTCAAATCATCTAAAAGATTGTTATTTCTCCAAACATCCCACAAAAACCTTGTCATGCAAAGCCAAATTAGACAAGTCAAACATCCAAGACCAAGCTAAAAGGAAGAAAGCTCAATGCAAACTAATCATCATAACATACATCAAAGTAAACAGATTTTACAACATATTACATCAGCCATTTCCTGCCTTTATTGCTTCATCCAATGATTAACCATTAAACAAAAAAGTAAATTTTTTATTTGGATTGTTAATATTCAATCTTTCAAATCTTTAAAGCTTGTATTCTTAAATTAGCCCCTATTTAATTTTGGAACCTCTATTCTTGACTTTTTTTGTATGTTTCATAAGAATCTCATATTTAATTTCCTATTCTATTTTTACTTTTTTCCACACTTGCTGACATAAACAAAGAGAACACATTTAACACAAACAGTAGAATGAACCAAAAAAATGACACTTCTAACCATGCAACACTTCAAACTTCATTAAAAAAGAAAGAAAGAAAGAAAAAGTAACAATCCCAAGACAAGAATAAATCTAATGCAGAGTGAATAACTTCTATGCACTGTTGTAGAACCAAAATAACAAATGAACCTCAAAACAGAATGCAGATTTCAACTCAAATTGAAAGCATATCTACCCAACAGACACAAAACAAAAAGAATGAAACACTAACAGTTAACATCAATTACGGCACATCGACAATATAACATAAGTTCCAAAACTGACTCAAAGAGGATATTAACATGCATC